TATTAGCTTAAAAAAATTAAATAGATTATAGGGACATTTTCAATTCCTATTCGTCCTTGTGAACCCAAAAAAAAATCATTCATTGCACTGAATTTTTTAAAACAAATTTTGGAATTAACCATATCTTTGAAATTATAACGAGACCTAACCGCCAAAATAACGTAAGCGACATTTTTTTCAAAATTTTCCTTTCGATGCAGAAATGCATCTAGATGCTTTAGGAATATTTCTGCATCAAAAAGAAAATTTTGAAAAAAATGTCGTTTACGTTATTTTGGCGGTTAGGGATCGATAGTCTTTTTAAAAAAATCATGACGTCAGAGATATGCCCATTTATTTTATACATACATATGCAGTTAATTATGTGTAATATGAAGTAGTCTTATAAAAGAAATTTAAATTTTGGGTAAACAAAAGGAATATAGACAAAACTGATCGAATTAAGGCGCTTCTTTTATTTCTGCCACTAGAATTATGATCTTCTTTCAACCAGAAAATAAATTTATTGACTTTTTTTTTTGCATCGAGCTGTTTTCGAAATACCTTAAATTACTTTATCAGATATGTATACACTAAAGTATTATTAAATGCATATAAATTTAATTACTGTCTGTCGTTTTGTTAGTTATGAAATCATTTTTACTTTAAATAAAAAAGTACGTTCCAAACCCATTTACTTATTATTTATTACATAGTAAGAGAGCTTCTCAAACCATATCGATGCAATTTTTTCATGTTAAGTCATTGAAAAATAATAAATATCTAAATCCCGGGACTGATCCCGGGATTGAACCAACGACATTCCGAAAATCCCGGGATACCGGGATTGAACCAACGACGTCCCGAAATCCCGGTCGGTTATTATCACCAACGTACGCAAAAATTGTGTGCTAAATGTAATATCGGTTTGCACGTAAAGTGCATCCACAATAAATAAGCATATAATTTACTATGTACATATGTATATGCATATGCATGTATGCATACTTTTTAATTTTTGACTTGTACGTACATATGTAAACAAATGGAGGAAATTGTTGTTATTGGAAAACGCAAGAATATGAACGACCGGGTCGGGCATACTCTATCTTTTGGTCGTATTACCGACTTCCGATTTCGACCGCAAGTGGGTTGAACAAAGGTGGCTGTGGAAAACGGTTGGCAAGAAAAAAACGGTCAGTATGAGTTCGACAGGTTTGAAGGGCAACAACTTTTACCATTTGTGAAAGACGTTATAACTGAGGAAAATTATGATGCAGGTAATGTATTTAACGTAATAAGCACGTTTATTTTGGTTATTTATGTAATCATTTTGAAATGAAACATTTTGCTCTTTTTTAATTTTCAGATGCTGGGTCATCAGTGAGTTACAGAGAAGAGAATGACGATGAGCCTGACGAAATTTATAATAATACTGGCGATTCTGATTGAAGTAATCGAATTGTACATGTCATGATTGTATATGTTTTTTTCAAAAGTAAAAAAAAAAATAATTTTTTAATATTTATTGAGTGCGCCGTATTACAGGAGCACATCCTTCTATAGACGACTGACGGCATCTGTTACAGGAAAATTCTGACTGACTATTATTTTTGTAATTACAATAATATCTGCACCTGTAAACTGAGTTTCAGATTTTATAAAATGCTCTCACGATGCAGAGATTTTGTATAACTTCAACGCGTGACTGATGCGCTCTATTGCAGGATTTTAGTGACTGACTAATGTCATACTATTTTTTAATCAATATCCTGCTCGCAATTAATTTTTCATGTTTTATAAAGTAGTTGCAAGAGGATGCAATTTTTGTAAATCTTTAATCATTTGCCACAAATATTGCATTCCGCTTCTGTCGATGAAATTTTATTAAAGTAAGTCCAAATAGCGTTTTTGGGCTTTGATTTGCTCATTTCGCACAGTTAGGAAAGAACGCAATTACAATGCAGAATGTTCTGAAATTCAATGCTAAATAGGGATGCAAAAAGAACATCGATATTTGGTACATAGCATCTGAAAGCGTCGATGTTTAAACATCGAAGTCCTTAAAAAAACAGCGATGTTGGTCATAACGGTTTCGCAGAAAGAAAAAAAATACATTCGACATTTATCTACTCTGCTTTATTGCGTCGCCTAGCATGTTTCGTTACCAGCAATTTAAGTGAAAAACGATTTTAATCTTTTTGAATCTTTTATGGAAATTGACAGAAAATAAAAAAAAACCTTTTCCATTTAAATTGCTGGTGAAACCGGCTGTCTAAGGGTTACAATCAAATACAAAAGCAAAAAATTTATAACTTTTATTTTTGATTTTTTCTTCGACTGAAAAAATAAAAGTCAAGTTGTAACTTATATATTTTCACCGAAAAACTAAGTCCAATTTAAACTTTTGTTTTTGACTTAAAACATATCAGTAAAAATAACTATTATTTATTGACTCTTTTGAAAAAAAGCATAACAGTTACATGTTTTCTTCATTCTCATCTAACAGCAGGAATTATCAGGCAGGTTCTGCAATTCACTTCCGAGTGAATTTCAACCCCGCCCAATTAGAATTCAAAGCGAATTAGATTGCAATTCAATCGGAAGTGAATTGAAGAACCTGCTTGTATACTTTACATGCCGTCTGCAGGGTACTATTTTCATCAGATCAAATGCGTAGTTAGTCCGGATTAATAAAAATAAATATATAATACAAGTTATATATTGTAACTTAATTTATATTTTCTGTTTAATTTTTTAATCCTTTTTTAGTAGCTTTTCTATTAAGTTTGATCGTGATAAATAATCGTGATTTCAAAATAGCGTAGTTGTACATTTTTGAACACTCTTCGAAAACCAAATTTTCGAAATTGCTAAATGTGCATTTAAATTTCAGCACAAACGCTGCATTATTCTCAAAATATGTACATATATATGGACATATGTATATTAAATTTATTTTTTAAATATATAATACATTTTAATTTATTTTAAGAGAATAAGCTTTAACGGTTTTAAGTGATCTTTAAAGGTGTGTAAACCAAATTCCGCCTCTAAATTTTGTGTGGAATCTTCGTGCGTTTAAACAATGACTTTTAGTTTGCGGTGTTCATTTCGATTTTTAGCGTTTAAGCAGTAAATTTTCTTTGGTCAATTCTTTCATTCACATTTTTAAAGCGGAGAGAAGCGCAAACACTGCCTACCCAGGGACTTCTCCACACAAGTTCAACACGCATGTAAATAAGTTATGATGTCACTTTTCCCTGAAATTCCCTATATAATCGTATTTAAAAATAAGTTTTTTCCACAAGCTACTCGAAGGAAAACTGGAGATAAGTTCAAACAGCGAGCATAAAGTAAAGAAATCAAATGAAGCTCATTGCAAAAAAATAAAAAATAAAAATCGTGGAACAGTTTTGCGTAAACTTCGACTTATGTTGTTACCTTAACTGTTGTTAACTTCTGTTTGTTATCACAGATTATACTCGAAAATTTGTTTCGAGTAAAGTTTGGCTTAGTTTCTGCCATTTTGGAACGAGTGTTCGAGACATGAAATCACATGGCAATGAATAACGTGAATAAATTTTTTAACCGACTCACAGTGTGTCGTCTGCAACAAGCTAGGTGGACAAAATTATTTTCAGACATTTTTGGGGTATATTTAGGGCGCTGATTTCCGATATTTCATCAGTCTTTTCGGATTGGAATTATTGCGAACTTAACAAAATTTTCGGTTGCTAGAATTCGGAAAGCTATATTTTCTATCACTATGGGATAAATTCATTTATGCAAAATTTCGAGTTTTTTAATTAGATTCGGAGTATGCAGTTTTGTAGCTCATTGAATTCTAGTAGAATAAAGTACTAGTTGCAAATGGCTAAAAACTACGATTGATTTTTCAGAATTTTTAAAAAAGCTCGAAATTTGTACGAAAGTTTGTTGAATTTTTTTTTAAATTGCATAAATTTTTAAGGCAGTGGCACTCGATTGGTACATTTGTACAGATTGGTACATTTGATATTGGGCTATTGGTACAAAATAAAAAAATGGGAACATTTGTTTTAGTCAAAAGATTGGTACAATACAGCGATGTCCTGCTGAAAAATTTCAACAAATTAATTTTCGCGATTGGTATAAAGAAAAATATTTGGGATACGATTTGCACCAAATTTTGGCAAATACCCAATTATGTGACACTGCCACCAGAACACCTACCCGAATCCCGGGATCAAGTCCTCGGGATCCCAGAATCTCGGCATATAATTCAATTTACTACCAAATTAAAATAGAACGACATTAAGACACTGTAATGGCATAAAAGAATTTTAAAATGCATCCCTACAAATAATCAAATAACATATTACAATTCTAACACTACTATTATTCTATCTTATAATATATATACCATATATATGAGGCATTCTTTTTCATATCGGACACCAAATTTGGTGTTAGAATTTCGATTGGCTTCACATTTTAAATGATTTATTGATTTCTAAACAATGTCACACCCCTCAGCGGAATGTAGGACATAAAAAAATTTGCCAGTCAGGGCTTTGGGAATATCTTAATGTTAATAAGTTACCCTTTGCTAGAAATCCGGGAATAAATTTTGTCCACATAGCTTTTTCCTTACTACACACTGTCCGACTTCAAGAAAAAGAGGAAGGTTGTCAATTCATCAAAATATTTTTTTTGTTTATGTATCTATGTTATTTGATAACTTTGGACCAAGTGGGCAGTTTTCGATGTTTTTTTTTTATAATTTAATTCATCGGAAAGTTGATACCTCAAACGTGGTCCCATACTAATTCGGCTTAGTTCCGATCATTGGATCATGAAGAAATTAACGGTACTCCTTCATTTTTGTATGAGCATTGAGTCGGTTGTGTTTTTGCATCAAAATTACTTGTTACGCATTAATTTAAGTTTCATATTAACTTGATTTCAAATTATATTTTTATATTGTGTGATAAGAGAATGGATTCATTTGCGAAGGCATTACGCGCCCCACCACTCACCAGTGTGCCACATGTAGTGGTTGACATAATGTTCCTTGCGCGTGAAGGACTTCTTACAAATATCGCAACGATGTGGCGTCTCACCCGTGTGTTTCCGCACATGATTTACCATGTGCTCCTTGCGTGTGAATGTCTTAGCGCAATACTGGCACCTGAACGGTGTTTCGCCGGTATGCGAACGAAAGTGGTTGTCCAAGTGCTCCTTGCGTGCAAAAGTCTTCTGGCAAATCGTGCATGCGAAAGGCTTATCGGTTGAATGTCGTTTCATATGCCGCTCCAGACTGGCATTGTTGGCGAATACATTAAAACAAACGATGCATGTGAACATTGGTCCACCGATGTGTATCTTACCGTGGCGCGTTAAATCCTGTGAGGTAGTGAAGCCCTGCCCACACACCTGACAATTGAATGGTTTACGTTCACTGTGATAGCGTCGATGTACAATCAATTGATAGCGAAATTGAAATATTTTGCCGCAAATATCGCAAACATGCGTGCCTGTAGCGATTGGTGTGCCATCAGGTGCGAGTGTGATTGTTGTCGCCTGATCCACAACCGGCAGACCGCCCTCCATTTTTGGCATCAGCAGTTCACCGGTCACCGTGGGTGTTGCTGTTACAGCGGTGGCTGGTGCAGTCGTTGTACCACTTGTGCTGATTGCCGTCGTTAGATTGGTCGTTGTTGTGGGTGCCACCACACCACTTGTTGTATTTGCGGCAGCCGCAGCCGCCGCTGCTGCTGCAGCAGCAGCATTAGCACTGGCAACTACGGCAGCAACAGCAGCATTATTGCTTGCATTGCCGTGTGGTGGTGGCTGAGCAGCGTTGGGTACTGCGTGTGCAGCCAACTGCTGATTCATTACGTCACCATGAATTTTACCAAACACTTCGTGGTAGGTGAAAAGCTGCGAGATATCCTCAATGTTAACTTTATACATTTCAATGCCCGACGGCGGTTTGCCCATTCCAACGTCCTCTTTTACTTCGGTTTTCGGTGCACCCAAAGTAATAGTGGTGGCACCGCTCGTCGTCGACGCGGACGACGCCGAAGCGCTTACGTGTTGCATAACAATTGATTGATTTAACTTTCCGTTATCTAAAAAGGGTTTCTCCTCTTTTATATTTTCTCGTTGCAGTAACTGTTGTTGCTGCTGCTGTTGTTGAGGCTGTTGGGGTTGCTGCACGCCGGTGGCTACATGTTGTTGCTGTGGAACATGCTGCTGTTGCTGCCGATTGTCATCATTGGCATTTATTGCAGCTGTAAAAATATAAAAAAAAAAACAATTATTACACAAATAGCGACACATGTATGTATGTATGTATGTAGATCTCGTGATACAAAGAAAGGTGTTATATATTCGCGATCGTTTCGCTCTAATCTCCATCTTAAGCTCCATTAGAAAAATTCAATTTGCCTCTTTGAGAAACTACTTTTTTATTGCAGTGATTTTCATGAAAAGGTACCAAAAAAATGTACTCTCAGGTTCTCACCAATTTTGAATTATAAATTTGATACGAAAAGTAGAGTTACATATGTATATACACTCAGCGTAAAAATATAAAAACCCTGACGTTCTAAAATTTTTTTTTTTCATTTTATTTTCCATACCAAATTTTGCAAATGCAAGAAATACAAACAAAAATTCCATAAAAATTTTAGATTTTTCACCTCGATTTCTTGAAAAAATTTTTGTTCATGCGTTGTTTGGCAATCTTGTATGTATGCTACATTTTTTCCTACAAAAAATGGAAAATAAAAAGGACTTCGCCGATTCGACGAAGATTACCTTTAAAATATGTAAAATAAGGTTACCCTGTAAGGGTTAATTAATTCTCTGGACGAAAAGGAGCACTAAATTTGGTACTATTTTAACCAAACGACCTTTTTTTCTGGCACTTGCAAAATACTACCTTGAACTAAGGGAGCGTCGAATCGAGCTGTCTATACGTACATATGTACATTAGGGTGTCCATCGAGGATGTTTTTTCCCCCAAATTTTATTCGTTTTTATGAGAGATATTATTGCCTATTTTTTATAGATTTTTTAAATGTCATTTAGGTCCGAAAATACGATTTTGTAGATTTATGAGGTTTTGAATACCTATTTTTGATTCGATTTCAAAGATCGAATATATATGAGAAGAGGGTATATAGGCCTTTAAAATGGTGTATAATAATCTATTGTCGGACTTGGTTTGTTGGAATTTTTTGTCCGGTAAAATAAAAAACACTTATTTCTCTTAATTTTTTAAATTTTGGCCATCGACAATTTCCACAATTTCAAAATAAATTTAAATAAAATTAAATCTTTTTTTAAATAAACTGATAGCTCATTTATTGCAATAGAATAAAAATTGTCGAAGTTAGGCGACTTTTCTTAAATACGGCCTTGAATTTATATTTTTTATGTAGAATATTTATTCAAATTGATATTTACAATCGCTCTTTATCAAATAAGTGGGTTCTGTGGATATTTAAGGAAAATGGGGGTGCCACGGCCCACATTTTTGTGATATATGCGTATCTCAAAAACTACTTGACCGATCTCGACCAATCTCGTACACACGTTGTGCTTAGCGTCCTTAAGCACCGTCTTGAATATTTTTGAAATCGGACAAAACCTACTGCCTCTAAAATATATAGCTTACTTTGAGTTTTTTGAAATTCCCGTTACGTTGGTGGAGCCCGCGGTTTTTGTCCGATTTCAAAAATTTTCAATACGGCGCTTAAGAAGCCTTATCGAAATGTGCATATCAAATTTGGTCGAGATCGGTCAAGTAGTGAGATACAAATATATGATATAAGTGGACGTTGTCACCCCCATTTTCCTAAAATTTCCTAAAAAAAACACTTCTTTGCCAAAAAGCGGTTGTATATATAATTTTGTAATAAATATTGATGAATTCCTTAGCCACACTGCTCAAAAAATCTTAGAGTCCGGTACATAAACAATAAAGGCCTGCAAATGTTGAATTATAAAACATAGCGACATGTGTCACATCATGCTATTGCCAGTTCATAGTTGGGGTATTCACAACCGTGTCGTAAGTGTCGTATTGTTGTATGTCGTAAACTGTAAACGCCTAAAGAATATATTAATGGGGTTAGCAAAGTATCATCAAAGTCATGTTATGCATTTTCACAATGTTAAAAAGTAGATGGTTGAGGTTTCAAGATCTATAAACACTTATTTAAGCTTTTAAAGTTGTGAATCCTTTAACTATGTCGTTCATATTAGAGATGGGAACGGGCCTAAATTTTCAGGCCCGGTCCGGTACGAGTGCAAAATCAACTTTCAAAAACACGCACGAGCTCGCGCGTTAAGAATTTTAGTGGGGCCCGGCTCGGCCCGGCACGACGGGACACGTGCCAGCCCGGAAATAAAGAGCCAACTTTTATTGTATGTATACATATGTAAATATTTTTCATTCTGTGTTTATGTATGTATATTTACTTAAGCGAATCAATTTTTTACATCAAAGATTTTTATAATCTGCCTTACCCTGAGTTTCGCCTGAAAAAAAATTCACCCGCCCATAGTAAAACCATGGAAACCAAATATGAAAAGTGAACCGGTTCGGGGAAAATGAAACTCATGATAAGGCTGAATATATTTTCTGGGAAGTAGAAAAAGTGGAAGGTATTTTATGTACTGCTATGTAAACAAAACTACTAAGTATCTTATTTTTTCTATCGGTTTCCAAATATTTCTTTTTTTCGTTTTCTCTTATCAAAAGAGTTTTAAATACATATGTACTACTTTTTTTGTATAAAAACAAAAGCTTATCTAAATTTGTAGTATTAGCAACGGGCCTTTTCGTGCTTATTCGTGCTTTCATGAAATTTTACTGAACGCCTATGAACGCACGAGTTCGTGCTGACAGCAAATATTCCGGCCCGTACCCGCGGGCTTACGAAGGGGCCCGCCGGGCCTCTGCAAAAAGCCCGGCCCGTGCCCATCTTTAGTTCATATATGCTTCACAATGGCATATGAAGACAGTGTCGAATAAATTGAAATCAAATCATGCAGCAAATCTATGCATGTCAACACAAGCGACAAGTGCGACACATGCAACATAGTCAGCAAAATTAATTATATTGTATATACGTGAAGAGATTTTGCAAATTTTGCAAGCTCCTATTAAAGTAAAATTCATTAAACAATTGTCTAATTAAAAATTAAATAAAAAAATGGATATTATTATTGGGAATCTCCTGAAGAGAAACAGAGTTTTCCGATCAAAAAATATTGATTTTCAAAAACTCTATACTATTTATACGAAAAGTTGGTTTTTTTTATGTAAAAAACAGGGAGAACTTTGAGCGCTTTGAGCGAACTCTTAAGTATTTTTTCATTTCAAAATAACAAATAGGGATATATTTTTTCGGTATAGAACAATCCTAGGGGGTGAGAGCATATTCTCCGACTTTACCTTTTCACATTCATTTTTGTACCACCCTATGGTATATACATACATATGTACACTTAGGTCTCTTTTTATGCTGTACATGCGTTCCTTAGAAAGCCGCATAAAAAAGTTCTTTACTTTTATACAAAAACAGGGAATGCGTTCCAGCATTTTCAAAAACCGCATAAATTCAGATACTCCATGTAAAAAATTCTAAAAAACCGCATTAAAAAATCCAGTGAGGCATTATTGAGCAAAAAACAACTATTTATTTCTTCACTTCAACATTTATTATTCCATGTAAAACCGAACATTAATGACATAAATAAAATTGTATCTGTATTTTAAGCAAAAAAAAAAATTAAAATACCACAATAAATACATGAATTATGTAAGAATACATAAAAAAATATTTAGAAAAAAAGGTTTTTTCTTAACAGCGGTCGCCCCTCGGCAGGCAATGGCAAACCTCCGAGTGTATTTCTGCCTTGAAAAACAGCCTTTAGGAGTCGGTGTAAAACTGTAGGTCCCTCCCCTTTGTGTGACAACATCAAGGCGCACACCACAAATTGGAGGAGAAGCTCCACTTACATATGTGTAAGCGCCAATCTATTATTATTATTATTATGTAAGAATACAAAGACAAATTATTTATCAGAAGCATTGTCTTTTACACACTGAAAAAAATAATAAAAAATCTCAAAAAAGCAAAATCGCTACTGCGAAATAATGGTTTGAAAAACTGCATAAATTCAAATCCGCGTAAAAAGAGACAAGTATACATATACACATATATAGTAATTATTAATCCAAACGCCCTATAAGTACGGTGACCAGATTTCCGTGGCCAAAAATCGAGATATTTCTAAAGCATCGAATCCAAACATACAATTTTGTTTTTAGAATAAAAAGGCTTAATAGCGTTTTATTTAAAACAGAAAAACAAAAAAAAATAAAATGTTTATTGTTTTCTTATGAAAATATAAGTTACTATCTAAAAAAAAACTGTAAATCAAAATTTTAAAATTTGTAGAACATTTATCAAAATTCGACGAACTTTAATTAATGCTTATCACAATTGGAAACATTTTAATGTTTTTGAGTATGCAGATTTGTAGCCCAATAAATGTTAGTATAATAAAGTGCAAGTTGGAAGAAGCTTGGGCTTACCGTCGATTTTTGTCAATTTTTTGTTCACGCATTTTCTTCCATACACATTATGTTCAGCAATTTTTTTGTATGGAGAAAATGAGTAGCAGCTTCATAAAATATACCAAATAGCAACGGTAAGTCCTAGCTATTTAAAATTTGCGCTTTTAATTGAATAAGTTACAAAACTGCATACTCAGAATGTTTCTAAGAAATCTAATTAAAAAGCTCAAAAGTTTTATGAGACTTTGACGAATTTTGCTAATTTTTGTACAAAGTTTCAAATTCTGCCTTTCATAGCCTTTGCTAGATAACGAGCCACACTTTCATAAAAAGTAATAAACATTAAACATTACAGCTCACTTATATTCTTGTCGTCGTACGAAAAATTGTTTTTGGGCGAGCGTACAAGAAGATTCTTTGTTTTTTAGGCACCTGCTAAAAACAGCTAAATCGCGTTTTTGCTATAATTTTCTTATATGATATCCGCTTTATTATCCTTTTATGTCCCCGAAAAGGTTCCGCTCAGGACTATTATTTGCCCTCGAATGGCTCGTTTTGATTTATACTTACACTAACTTGGAAACACTATCCCTAGTTTCTTAATTTTATACTATAAATCTAAAGCTCTCAAAAAATTTGAGGACTTTGCTAAAAAGTGTTACGATTTATCCGCAAACAAAAAATTTTAATACTTGTGTGGAGTATTA